GTAATACCTCACTTGCACATGGTCCTCAACATCTCCAACCAGCCCCAAGAAGAGGTTTACAGACCTGAAATGCCCAGACACCTCAGCCCAGATCCTTCAGCTCATTTAGGTAGTAAGTCCTTACTCAGCCCTTACCTGTTGACTCTGTGCACAACTCAAACAAGCTCCATTTGCTGACTTCTTGGCAGGATGTAAAACGATAGTGTGGGGAGTTCCGTGGGCAAGCCTCGGAGCCACGGGAAGATTCTGAAAGCTGCAGAAGGCACAACTTCAGAGCCTCCGGGCCAAACACCTCTCCCTGTTGATAGGCCTGGTTGCTAAGGGCAGCAGAGAGAGTGACAGGAGGGAGAAAGATTTCCACCAGATGACAGGTCAGGAGAGTTTGGGGCCTCAGAGGCGTGTCATCTATCTGGACGGTACCCTTATCCAGGACAGCTTGTTCTCCTCCAGGCTGATAAATGGAGCATTCCTGTTCCTAGCCAGTCCTCCTCTGCGGTGGCTTTGTCCCTTGAAGAACACAGGCACTCTGTTTGGTTTGGTTTTGTTTGTTGAAACCCGCCTTCTCTCTGCCCTCAGAAGAAGCAGGGGTTTCCAGAAGGAGAGACTAAGGCCCTTTCTTCATTGACTCCTTCCTTCACTTACAAGGCGTCCCTAGCACCAGCTCTGGGAAAGGCCCTGGTGTGAATCCTCTCAGGGAGGACAGACTTCTGGGATCCCTTGAACTGGATCTCAAAAGGTTTTAGTGTGGGGTCCCTTGGCTCAGTGATGGTGCCAGGTACCATGTAAGCACCATAAGGATATTTCATTAATTTCCTACAAAGTAGATATTTCCAGTGTTGTCCGTTGAGATGAGATCATTAGCCCTTGATCATGCTGGAGATAAGGACAGAGCTGGGATCTGAACGTGTGTCTAGGTTCCTAACCCTGTATTGTCTGGCTTCCCTGGGATAAATAAGTAGATCATTGGAGCTGCCTCTCCCCTCCCGCACTCCCCATGTCCCCTATCCTAACTCCCTAGAGCCCAGCCTGCCAGGTGTCTCCAGACCTGAGACAGATAATGGCAGCAAGGCAGGGGAAAAAGTGGCTAGTGGCCGAAGATCCCCTGGAGCCTCAGGGCCAGGGCCAGCATACTCAATGGCATT